CCTTGACCATTGTGCCGATCTCGATTTCGAGGGCTAGGCCGAGATCGGATATACGAACGTGACCTGAACAGAAAATGAAAAACTGATCAGGGAGTGATGAAAGTGATTCTCCCCTCAATAAAAGGAATATTATGCAATAAGAGAATTTGGCTCGAAGCCAATTGGTGAAAGAGTCCGATAAAGTAGCCAAGCCTGGATAAAAATAAAATCGTCTGAATAGACAAATTTATGCAAATAAAATGACATAGTAATGCATATTATCATCGTTAGTGTAAAAATGGGATAGAACTGATCAAAGGATTTGGCACTAAGCATATGACAAGGACTAAATCAGTGACTTTTAGTCCCATCGAAGGCAGATTAGCCAAAGGAAAATAAGCAGAAAAAGTCATAAATATTTTATGATCGTACTGAAGGCTTATGCAAGAGCTAGTCGAACCATTACATCCCCTTCATATGTAGCTCGAGTAATATGTAACAGTAAAATTCCATTTGTCGATAACCGGGGGGTCAGTCATTTTAATTCGTCTTACTATCGTCTTGACTGCGTGCACCTGTGATCACACTATTGAGGCCTAGTTCCTAATGTGTATTAAGAGATGGCTTTTTCGTGGAAGTAAAAGCCTGATGTCGTAAACGAGGGCCGAACTGGAGCCAACTTTACATAATAAATCAGTGCAATGCCAGAAGACACAATTCGACCTGATTAAGAACTTACAAATTTTTTCTTCAAAAAAACATAAAAGAAGATTACAGGCTAAAGATATTAGATGGCGAAGTTAACAAAAATCGCACAGGCTGATGATACGGTCAAGCCTGAGAACTGTAATGAACGCTTTCGTAAAATAGCTTCAAACTGTCTGCTTCATTTTAAAAAGCACCCTCGATGTTCCCACCAAGCTGCGAAAGCGAGGTCGGACTAACACTAAAAAAATAATAGGACCTCCGAAAATCTGTGAAATGTTAAAAAGTTAAATATGCTGGTACTGTAGCAGAAATTTGCAAAAATAGCATCCACGTGGAAATGAAATGAAGTCGTGCCACTGCCGTTCTTGGGTAGATGCCAAAAATCTGCATTTTGTGAGCTTAAGTAACTCTTTTAAAAAGGATTAACTTAAAATCAGGAATTCGTGCCAATTTTTCATCCTTCTTGTCACATACACCTAAGCCGACAATAGAAAAGATAAAAACGGAGCCCGAAGAAAAGCAATGGAGTATTAGAATGGAAAAGGTTCAAAACCTAAATCAAACCGGATCTCAAAGAGTATTCGTTGCAAAATTTGCGAGGGCAATAGCAAAGAAATCTTTGGCCACCGAATAAGAGAGAATACATCGAAATTGTTGTCGATTTGTGGGATAATTGCAACCATATTGTTCGTGGCACGAGCAACCGTAGCCAAAAAATGAAGGGATAGTCCAAATTTATGACTCTTTTTCCAATAAATAAAGTGGTGGAAAATAAATAAAGGCCTGCGCTTGACTATTACCTGCCGTAAAAGTAAGATTACCCAAAGAGCTACTGCAAAGTTACTTCTCAAGAGACAATAAAAAACGATTTAAATTTAAAATGAGGACAATTTGACAACCAAAAAGTAAAATATACCGAGAATTTGAAATTACATTGTATTGCAGTCCCTCAGTAAGGATTTATATTGCATTTCACGACCTAACAAGGTAAGCATTGAGCGCTCTTTAAATTAGCCCAAAACTTCATCCAGTGAAAGTAGACAGAGAAAATCGAAATGGTATTCAGGCTACAATTCAGGATTCTGATAAGATAATTGTTAGTTCTTAAGAAAAAGATTCAGTTAAGCAATACTAATTTATAATTGACAAGGCATAAGTAATCTTTATCGAAGCGCTATTCTAAAAAAACAATTTAGACGTTTTTGTACTGTCAATATGATATAGATCACATCCAGACAGCAATTTGCCACTTAAATTGAGCTTATCTAAAGCGGATGGTAGTTCCCTCTTGCAGATTCGTACTTGTTGACAGCATTTTATTTACCACAGGCCTGCCAAGTCTAAAAGACTATAAATTATTGCTTTCAAATAACACATTAATGCATGAAAAAGCATATTCACACACAGATACATCAGCATGAATAAGGAGGGAATATAATGGGGAGTGAAAGTTGAGATAAACCAAATAGTAATAGTTCCACATGCAAATCCCGCTAATTTTATTCAAGCACAAGATATTATGAAACTAGTTAACCTAAATATAAAGCAAAATGTAATGATAAAAATGAAATTGTTTTGATTATTTTAAGAACTTGAGGATGATAGATGTGAATCCAATTATGTCTATAGTGGGTCTAAGACCGATTAAACATGTTTTAATGAAAAATAAAGACTAATAAAAGGGATATTGGCAAAATCACTCAAAAGTTAACTAGTCATGTATTTTTAGCTAGTAGAGCCCAATAATTCACTTTCAAGCTGAAAGTTACTTAAAGAAATACAAGCATACATTCATTATCGCGATACGTTAGGTCCCAAGGCAAAAGAATCTATCAACATCCTCTAAGATAACACAAGCAAACGAGAGCTCACCTTGATCATCGATGAGTATATTTTCCGGCTTAAGATCACGATAAACTATGCGCAAAGAATGAAGATGCTCCAGACCCAGAGTTATCTCGGCTGCATAAAATCTGGCTCGCGCTTCACCAAACCCCGACGTCTGTGACATATTGTGGATGTGAAACTTCAGATCTCCGCCATTCATGATAGTCAAGACGAGACAGAGAGCATCTTTGGTTTCGAAAGCGTATGCTAGACTGACCTGAAAGGGATACCAAAAATCAAAATAATGTTATTAGGTAGCTTGGGAAATTGTAGCAAATAGACAATCAGCACATTGAATAATCAGTCTTTCCAGGATTATTAAAATTCTACTCTAGCCTATACAAAAAGGTGTATGACTTGCTTACCAAAACCTCTAAAGAGCCTGGATCACCAGGGCGTGGAGGTACACCAGGTAAATAAAATCAGATTGAGCTCAAAAGTAAAAGAATAATATGTTGTGCATTAAAGGAGACAGAAGCAGTGTTCAAGTATCAAAATGCCCTCACTGAAATCTGGAATATTTTGTCATAGAAATTTCTGAGCGATATCTGCAAAGTTCAGAGCTCTTTTAAAAAAAATCGGAGATGGTTAATTTCAAAAATATACGAAGAGTAACAGAATTTCTATAAATCCCTATAGATAAGATCATTCGAAAGATTTTGACTTAGTATAAGAGTCAAACAAAACGAGGGAGAATGTCGCGTAGACTGCGTAAACTTGCATGTAGAAGTAAAAACAAACGGTTGCAGAACAGGAATCAGCCAACTTGCAAATCTCGTTACTCGACATTTCACAGAAAATGAAGGTCAACTCAACAATAGTTTTAAGTAGTAATCAATCGCTGAACCAAAAGTTTCGGTGTGACTCCCAGAAACCATCAGCAAAATAACGAAAAAGTGCTCAAAAACAGTACTTCACTTACTATATAATTAAATACTCCTAGAAACTATATCAATTCTAAGCCCATTGATCCTCGCCTCAAGTAATATCCACAAGAAGTCGATTTCTAATAAAAAATTATATATCGCCATCAGCAACTGACATAGTGATAAGGCTAATGTTAGATTTAAAAAATTATATATTATGTATCAAAGGGGATAAAAGTATTTAGTAAAGTTCAATCTCCATATTAATTATTCAAGCTATTCAACAAAGCCACATTTTCTTATCACCTCATATTATTAAGCATAACAAGGCAATTGTGTAAATCGT